CCGGTCAGGGTCGTCGTGCTCGGGGGTGGTCCAGCGGCCCAGCGGTCCAGTAGTGCGGCCCGGCCATCGGCCGTCGACGGCGTGCTCTGGCGCTCTGGCTGCCGGTCTGATTAGCGCGCCCTTGGCGGCGACGCGGCGGCGCTCTGAGGAAAGCCGCGCGGATCGTCCCCACGGCCACGCCCGCCACGCCCGCCACGCCCGCCACGCCCGCCACGCCCGCCACGCCCGCCACGCCCGCCACGCCCGCCACGCCCGCCACGCCCGCCACGCCCGCCACGCCCGCCACGCTCGCCACGCTCGCCACGCCCGCCACGCCCGCCGCTCGCGTGATTTGTGGCGTGGAACACGCGGACTGACGGACGCACCGTGCCGCACCGCGTGTGACTGCCGAGCGACCAACGTGAACTTTAACGTCAAACGGCTCATTTGCAATTTTGGATCTCTTAGCGGTGCGTCGTCGTCTTGCGACACGACACGCGGCACGCGGTACGCCCCGGAGCGCCGCGCAGGCAGCCGTGTCATTGATCACCAGGCCGACGTACGGCGCGGCGCGGTGCGAGGGTGGGCACGCCAGATTGATGCACTCCACTCGAGGGATGGCTCGGGGTGTTTGCTTTCACTGCAGCGGCCTGGCGGCTGGCTGGCCCCGGCCGGGCCCGGCCGAGCACGGCCACTCCGCGCTCCACGCGGGGCGCGCGAGGCCCTCTCTACTAATGGCTTGCAACACCCCGCCCCACCCCACCCCAGCACCGCGCCCCACCGCGCCCCGCCCCGCCACGCCGCGGCGCACACCTGTCGCAAGGAACACACACACACACACACACACGCGCGCGCGCGCACACACACACACCTACACACACGCGCACACACACACACACACGAGAGGTGCCATCTCCTCTGGCTCCTGTATTGGCGCCACGTGGGTAACGGCCCTCTGGAAACAAGGCGAAAACCAAAGCGAACGGGCCGAGCGGTACGACGGGGAGGCGGGTCGCTGCCTTGACCCGCTGCCGCGTTTTAGCACTGACAGTCCTAACAGTCCTGCAGGCTCATTCCGAACTACGGCGCTCCGTCGCTCTCACGGGCGGGCCGCTCCGAAGGGGTGCGAGAGAGACAGGGCGACGACAGCGCCGATCGGCGCGAGCCTGCCGTCTGATTCCGAGCACTGCTTCGTCGCTCTGTCTCTCTCGCACCCCTACAGACCGCCCCATGAGTGCGAGAGAGACAGAGCGACGAAAGCAGTGTTCGGAATCAGACGGCTGCTGGCGGCCGGCGCGAGACTGCCGGCGGTGTCCCTATCATTATCAACGCGGCCCTCGTGCCTCGCGGGGCGTCGCGGGGCGTCGCGGGGCGCAAGGGGGAGGCGCGCTGCACTGTAAGCCACGGCGAGGGCGAGCCGCGAGCCGAGGGTGCCATTGCCATCGACGTCCGAGTCAACTTTACGGCGGAGAGTATCCGAAGCGTTGGCAGCATTTGCCGGCCAACTTTGCGGGCTTTGCGGGCTTTGCGGCAACAGGCCGTAAAAGTCCGTCGTTATGACGGTGGCAGCACAGCGGCAGCACGGCGGCGCCCCTCGGGCCATAACGACCGCGCAAGTACAACAATTAGCAGTTTACAGCCGGGGGCCTTGTCGACGCTCCGATGATGAGGCGTGCACGGCAGCCAAGGAGACAGGTTGGCGGCCCGTCCGGCCCGTCCTGGACGTCGCCGCCGGGGACACTGATAGAACGCCTCGGCGCCGCGGCCCTCGGCCCGGAGGACTCCATACAGACGCCGCGCCGCCAGGGTCGCCTCGCCACGGACCGCCACGGACTTCACAGACACCTTGCCTCCGGGCAGGGGGTGGAAACGGGGCTGATTTGGCGGGCCTTGGCTGCGGCGAGCTGCCGGCCGTTTCCGTTTCCATTACCGCGAGTCTGGTCCACTTCCAGCTGAGAGCTCGCTAACGACAAAACCCAACGCGTACTTAAAGGTAGGTGGAAGGACGCCGAGGCTCCTTGGGCCGAATCGATACTTACAAAATGAAAATATGGCACATTTCTGGTAACTTGTTTACCTTTTTTCGGCTTCAGGCCAGAATCGCCGCGCCCGAACGCGGCTGAGCCATAACACGCAAGTTTCAAAATTCCATGACTCGTCCGGGTTTCGAACCTTCATACGGGCTCACGCGAAGAGACACATTGCTCTAGGTACACGTGCAGGATTCGTGCAGCTGGCTACTTTAGCTAGAAAGTGGGTTCTAGAACCACGAAAATCCACTACAACGCCGCGCCGCATCGCCGCGCCATGGACCCGCCATCAGGCCGTTCCACACCCTGCCCCCGGGGTTACCTCGCCATCGGGGACACCTCTGGCCTGCGGCTGACTGGCCGAGAGCCGTTTTCGCAGCAGTCTCTCCTCTCGCACCCGTACGGGACGCCCTACGAGAGCGAGAGAGACAGAGCGACGACTCTCGGAATCAGTCTGCTGAGTGGCGGCAGGGCCGCCGACGGGGCCCTCGAGACGCACCACATCCATCCACGGAAACAAGACCGAAGCAAGGCAAGCCTGGTCTTAAAACCCGCACGCACCCTTGCCCCAGCCAGTCGGCCCACCGCCAGCCCACCGCAAACGCTGCAACGCCCTCCCCCGCGAGCGCGATAGCGACCGCAAGTGCCAAGTTCGTGTGTGCGGCGACACGGCGACACGACGCCTCGGTGACATTGGCGACGAGGTGGCGGAGAACGCGGCGAACGCGGAGAACGCGGCGCTGTGGTCGACCCGGCGGAGGCGGCGGCGTGAGCAAGCGGTAGTAGATCGGGGACAAAAGTCGGAGTTTCCACGCGTCTAAGTCCCGCGACCGCACGCACAGTCGCAGACACGGTCAGGTCAGGGTTGCCACACCCTCCTTCTTCCTCGCGTGTCGCGGGTTCGAATCCCGGCCCCACCGGATTTGTTTACCTCCCCACGCGCATTGTTGTCGGCAGCCAAAGAGCGCGCTGCACTCATCTGCATAAGCGGCGGCTGGCCGGCGGCATGGAGAATGGTGGTGCTGCGTGGCGTGTGCCGTTGGTGGCGTTCCCACCCGCCGCACAGTGGACCAGAAGACCGGCGGAGGCGGCCAAAACTCCAGACGCGTTTTGAGCTCCAGAGTCGCTAAATGGGACTCGAACCGAACGTGTGACCCCACCAATGGATTGCTCGTTCGGAGAGCAATCCATTGGTGGGGTCACACGTTCGGTTCGAGTCCCATTTAGCGACTCTGGAGCTCAGAACGCGTCGAGACTTTTGGCCGCCTCCGCCGGTCTTCTGGCCCACTGTGCGCCGGACCTTTTCCTCTCTCATCCTTGGGGTTCCCCGGCCCCACCTTCTCTCTCCTCTCGCTTCCTGCCGTCGACGGGGACGTCCACGGGGACGTCCTTTGCGGCCGAGCCGGTCCTTCCAGTGTGTTTTTGTGCGGTTTGCTGACTGATCGGCGGCGAAAGGACCCCCGCCGCGGTAAGATTCCTTCCGAGCGAAAATTAAGCAGGCTATGCGCTGCTCGGCGCTACTACGCTAGGAGGCGGGATTCCCAGGGACTCCCACGCGTGAGGGAGGCGCCGCGCTGCCGCTCTGGAGACCGATTCCGAGAGTCGTTTTCGTCGCTCTGTCTCTCTCGCACCCATACGGTACGCCCCACGAGTGCGAGAGAGACAGAGCGACGAGAACGACTCTCGGAATGAGTCTGCTGCCGCTCTCCGTGCCGGTGATGACTGCTTCACTGCGGGCTCATTCCGCGCGGCAGGTCCCGTCGCTCTGTCTCTCTCGCTCCCCTACGAGACGCCTCGCGACCGAGTGAGAGAGAGACCTCCCGCTCACTCGGAATCAGTCGTCTACGGCAGACTGATTCCGAGAGTCGTTTTCGTCGCTCCGTCTCTCTCGCACCTGTAGGGGACGACCCATGAGTGCGAGAGAGACAGAGCGACGAAAACGACTCTCGGAATCAGTCTGCAGCTGCGGCGTAGTAATTCCGTCCACCGTCCCGGAGCCGGCTCGGCTGCCGGATCGGCCGACGGGACAGCGACAATGCCGACAATGTCGCCGGAGCAGAAGGTCGAAGGGTCGCGGTTGGGTCAAGTTCGACGATTTGGCTTCCAAAGCAATCGGGCGCGCTTACGGTGGCGGTGCAAGGTGCAAGCGAACTGGGCTTTCCCCCCACCACACTGGAAAAGCTACTGCGAGCGACGCGGCGCTCTCGGCCTGCACGGCGATCCGACCCGTTCGCAGTTTGCAGTGTCGGTGGCATAATCGAGTGTGACTTTACATACGCGTAATGCGAGGCCCGTTGGCTCTAATCGCTTTTTGATAGACCTTTCCGGGCTAAGCTTCTTGTACAATAACCCAATCTTTGCGCCGCCACACTGTAAGACCCAACCTATTTGCAGCGAAATGGCATTAAACTCGTTGTTGTTGATACTCCAGTAGACACCGAGTTCAATTCCGTTTCGCCACAAATGAGCTGGATCTTAAAGTGTGGCGGCGCAAAGATCCGAGTGTACTGAACAAGTTGCTTAGCCCGGAAAGGTCTATTGCGCTTCGATTGGCCGTCCCGCTGCGACAAAGCTTTCGCCGGTCTGCTCTCGGGTCGGGTCAGTGACAGTGTGGCAGCGCAACGGAGCGTCTTTCCTCAATTTGCCAGCCTTGGTCGGGTCTTTCCCGCTCTCGTGAGCGGAAGGAGGATGAAGATGTCTCGCTTTGAACGCGACTCGGAGCTTCCGGTCTCCGCCGGACGACAGATGCTTATCTCCGCCCGCAATGCGCGGGTCTCCGCTGGTCTCCGCCTCGCCCCGCTCAAAAAAAAAAGTCGTCGGACTCGGAATGGAACCCTCTGACCGCGATGCCGTTTAGTTCAAAGTAGCCACTGTTTCCCACCTGCCGCGACTTCCGGCCGGCCGGCGATACTCCGCGCTCGAGGGCCGGCCGCGCGGCGCGGCGCGTGGAGCTTCGGACTTCCGCCGCCGCCGGACGGTGGCGCTAGCCTCAGTCTATTTGTGGAAGGCAGCGGCTGGCCGCGATGGTGTCCGCGAGTTGTTTTGAAATCACACGTGTGTTTTTGGTGCAATAACATTTACGACTGTGTTCAATTCTAGTCGCATGCGGGCGATCGGTGGTGGGTGCCCCGTCCAATCAGCTGTGTTTTGGCAGCTGCAGTCAGGCTTGTTACCAGTTTCGTCTTCTGCTTGTCGCAGCTCCATGGGTAACCTAACCTAGCGGAACGTGGACCAGAAGTACCGCTTTCGGGGCCGTGTGATTGCGACTCCCCTGCCGGCCTCAGGAAGCGAAAATGAAGTTCCCGACGCAGCACTACGACGACTCGAGCGACTCTGACGTCATCCCGCCCACGCCGGCCGCCAAGTCCACGCCACTGGTGCAGGGCGGCCGAGGGAAGCAGTCCTCGTCCTCGAGCGCCTCGGCCTCTGCGGCGCAAGCGACGCCCAGGACGGCCAGCCACCACGCCAATGACAGCTCGTCCGAGGACGAAGGCTCTCCGCAGGGCACGCCCATGGCCAGGGCTGTGGCTCTGAAGAGGGAGCCCGTCTCCAACTCCAGCAGTGGCGAGGACGACAGGGACACCTTCAGGAAGCAAATCCTGGCCCGTATGGGCACGGTTCAAAGCAAGAGGCCAGACCATACCATGTCAGCTTCAGAGGAGTCTGACGCTGAAGATTCAGATGCAGATACGACCACTGCGCCGAAGCAGCAACAGCATCAAGATGATAGCAGTGAGGAGAGTGATGATGACGACGACAACGGGCAAATGGCGCAAAAGGTATCTGCAGTTCATGTCAAACAGGAGAAACCTAGTGCTTCTGAGAGTAGTGAAGAAAGCGAGGATGAATCCAACGAACACGGCAAAGCCAATGCACATACTGCCGCTCATGGCTCTGACGACAGTGAAAGTGAAGAAGAAGTGGAACGAAAACCTGTCATATCAAAATCTCGTCATGCCCCCGACAATGATTCCTCCAGCGATGAAGGTGGTAGTGATGGAGGAGAGGTGCAGAATAAATCAGTTTCTGTGAATACTCTCAAAAGAAAGACTTCAGATGTGTCATCAAGTGAAGATGATGAACCAGCGTACAAACCATCATCCAACATCAATTCTAGAAAAGATTCCAGTGAAGACGAATCTAGTGAAGATGAGGAACCTCCTCCTAGACCAACATCAAATATTAATTCTAAAAAGGATTCCAGTGATGAAGAATCAAGTGAAGATGAAGTACCACCTCCTAAACCAACATCAAATATGAATTCTAGAAAGGATTCCAGTGATGAAGAATCAAGTGAAGATGAAGTACCACCTCCTAAACCAACATTAAATAATAATTCTAGAAATGATTCCAGTGATGAAGAATCCAGTGAGGATGATAAAACTGCCTCACCAAAGGTTGCCAATGATGCCTCTAGTGACGAGGAAGTTGAACAGAAACCTGTCATTACAAAATCAAATCGAGTTCCTGACAATAATTCCTCCAGTGATGAAAGTGACAGTGAAAGGGAAGAGGTGCAAAGTAAATTGGTGTCTATGAATTCTAACAGAAGAAAGGCTTCTGATGATGTGTCATCAAGTGATGATGAAATGGTGGTAGCAAAAGCAACATCTGCTCTACAGAACAGCCGGCAACGCACATCAGACAGTGAAGAGTCAGAAGATAATGACATTTCTTCAGCACCCCGGAATCAAACTTCTGTCCAGCCACAGGAATATTATGACTCAAGTGAAGACGAACAAAATAATGAGCCCAAACAAAAAGTGGTGCAGAAAATTGATTTTGTTGAGCTTCCAAAAGTAATCCAAAAAGTTGTACCCTTGCTCAAACCAACTCCAACACCAATACCTAAAAAGCGCACAGCAGTACCTAACTGTGAGCTTAAAGGACCAGCCTTGGTTAGTAATTGATATTTTTTAAACTCAAAATAATTTTTTTATGCATTTTGATCTTATCTATCTTTATGTTTTGACAGCTAAAAGAAACTTTTAAGAATGATGAAAAGCTGGAAGCTCGAGATGCTTGTCTTACTGTGGAGGATATTGGAAGTGATGAAGAGATATGGCTTCTTCAGTGTCCTCAATCTGTAAGCATAATGTGTATCTTACTTCATTGATGTTCAACCTTTTTTTTTTAAGACATTGCACATGTATTTATGAGATAAATTTGTATTTTTCAGATGGACATTAGTGCATTGAAGAAACAGAATATAAATCTGTCTGGGGAAAGTGATATCCAATTAGAAGATGGTCCCTTATTCAAAAGATTCTCTATCACCCCACAGCAGAATTCAAACGATTCTATCAATTGTTTACTACCTCAGAGAAGTAGCAGACATTATAAGATTTGTAAGTACCTTCAATTTTTTGACTAGAAGATTTTCAACTTGAATTTCAACCTGATTTATATTTTCCTCTTTTGACAATATTTAGCTTGCCTGCCAATTAAGGGCAAGATTGTTATCAATGAGCACATCCATGTCCCCAAATTGCGGTTGCCTGCCACAAGTGGAAAGGATCCTGTGCCGTTTCCAACTGGACTCAAAATTCGCCATCCTCTTCTTGGACCTGGTTTGTGCTTCACTGCATCTGCTGAATTACGTATTAATAATAATAAATAATAAAAATAATGTATATCATAAATTTACAGAGTACAAGAAACATTTGGCTGAAGCAAGAAAATCAATTCAAGAGAACGCCCTTCTTAACAAGCAGTCAAACAAGAAAAAGAAACACAGTTTGGATAACGGTTACTCTGACAATGAAGGGTCATTTGATCTGAAATCTCAGTCACATGGAAAAAAGAACCGGTCAGTCAACCAGAATGAATCAGTCCTGTCTAATTCGAAAAGCCATAGTAGTTATAATGATGAAGGGAGTAGTAAAAAGAAAAGAAAATTGTCCTTGGATGATAATGAAGAAAGTGGTAAAAAGAAAAAGAAATTGTCATCAAATGTGAATGATTTTGTTAACAATAGTTTTCTGGATGACATAGTTCAAAAGAAACGCAAGAGCTCCAAGCGAGAATCAATTAGTGAGAGCAGCCTAAATGAAATGATAGACAGAGAGGCAGGTAGTAAAAAGGATAAATCTTCAAATAGGAAAAGCTCCCTTTTGCCCGATGAGAGTTCTCATGATGTGTCTTCCAAGAAAAATAAATCTAAGAATGGAAGTGAGGTGGGGAAAGAGCGCTCCTGGCATGTTCCTCAGGAAGAGGAAATTCCTGTTAGTGTACTAAGTAACAATGATTCAATATCTAAATCTAAGAAAAAGAAACGTAGCAAAGACCTATTAGATCCTTTAGAAATAAAACAAGAGAGACTGGACTATTCTGAAAATGGAATTTCCACAACCCCAATTAATGAAGCTAAAGCAAAAAAGAGGAAAAGGAAAGAATGCGAAGAGGGTAGTGTACCATTGGACCCTTCTCAAATACCATCAAAGAAAAAGAAACACAGCGTTTAAATTTTCTTGAAGGTATCTGTACACGGTTGGGATTACATTTTAATTGTTAACTGAGAATTATGGTTGAAACTTTTCTGCTTTGTTAGCTAACTATTGGGTCTTCAAAATTATTTTGAAGTTAATGTAATGTGTTTCACTGAATTATTTTCAGTCCTTTATTGTTGTGATTGTTAAACTTTATTGTGCCTTAAGTTTGTATAAACTTTGTTCACATATTTTTGATAAAATGTGGTATGTGTTTCATTAAATATGAAATTTTGATTACAAGTCCAGTGTTGTTTTGCCAACCCTCTCTCTCCCTCTCCTTTCAAACGACAACAAACTGCGAATCTGCGACGGTGTTCGCACGGCCCATCGCCCTCTCGCCGGCTGATTCCGAATGGTGATCGATTTCCTCGCTCTGTCTCTCTCGCTCTCTCGAGACGTACCGGAGGGCTGAGAGAGCGTGTTGTTTGAGCTAGCCTGCCGTCGAGCTCGCCGCGCCGAATCGGCAATCGCCAATTTGGCCGTGGCGGTTCGGGCTTCGGGCGGAGCGAGCGGAGAGGCAAGGGAATGCCCGTCTGTACACACTGCCGCGCCGTGCGATAGGCCCGGCGTGGCACAGTGGGCCAGAGACCGGCGCAGGCGGCCAAAACTCTAGACGCGTTTTCAGCTCCAGAGTCGCTAAATGGGACTCGGACCAAACGTGTGACCCCACCAATGGATTCCTCGTTCAGAGAGCTATCCATTGGTGTGGTCACACGTTCGGTTCGAGTCCTATTTAGCGACTCTGGAGCTCACAACGCGTCGAGAGTTTTGACCACCTCCACCGGTCATCTGGCCCACTGTGCGTGGCGTCCGAATCCACTGCTTGGCGCCAGCAGGCCTCGCCGCCCACCGCGCACGCAGCCCAAGTCGCGCCGCGCCTCGCAAAAGCTCGCAGACCGGAACGGAGTACATGTCGCCATGCAGGAGCACCGCACGCGGCAGCGGCACATGCAGAAGTACAGGCTCATGCCGAACAGTCATTTCGGCGCCGTGTCTCTCTCGCACTCACGGCTCGACCGGCAGCGGGTGCGAGAGAGACAGAGCGACGAATCCAGGCCGCGCGATTGCCCGCCCGTCTCGGCCATTTTGGGCCTGGCTCATAACCGAATGGAGTGTGAAAACTCGTCCCGGAAATGGACAGCGGAATAAAGCGCGCAGTTAGGACTTCCCTGGCCGGGCAGCCGACGCACCGCGGCGCACGGAGTCACGGACACGGGCGGCGCACAGTGGGCCAGAAGACCGGCGGAGGCGGCCAAAACTCTAGACGCGTTTTGAGCTCCAGTGTCACTAAACAGGACTAGAATCGAACGTGTGACCTCCACCAATGGATTCCTCGTTCGGAGAGCAATCCATTGGTGGGGTCACACGTCCGGTCCGAGTCTCATTTAGCGACTCTGGAGCTCAAAACGCATCTAGAGTTTTGGCCACCTCCACCGGTCTTCTGGCCCACAGTGCGGCGCTAAAAGTGCCACCCTGAAAAAACGCCTAATGACGTTTCAGCCGGCGGCCCCTGCTCCTGCGTCAGCGCGTCACCGGCCCGGAGATGCTGCCCGCTGTCGCTGCCGTGGCTGTCACCGCACTCTCCGATCTCCGCGGCTTTGTTGGGCCTCGCGGTCCTCGCGGTGCTGCAGCAGGGCCAGGGCCGTGCTGGCGGTGTGGCGGCGTGGCGCGGTGCTGCGGCGTGGCGCCTCGCGGGCTCAGTGCTCAGTGCTCGCTTTGGCGCCCGGAACGCGAACGCCGAGAACGCGATAGCGCCGAATGGCCAGGCCAGGCCGGGCAGTGATACGCCGCCGCGCCGCGCAGCACGCCGGACCGCACCGGACCGCCCTGCGCGCCGCGCGCCCGCGACTCCCAGCAGGCCGTGCAGGCCGTGCCGCAGGCTGCAGTCGACCGAGGTGAGGAGGCGGCCGTTGTTGGCGCGCCGCAGCAGTCTTGATTAGGATCTCCCCGCGCTATCCCGCTTCTCTCTGTCTCTCTCTCTCTCTCTCTCTCTCTCTCTCTCTCTCTCTCTCTCTCTCTCTCTCTCTCTCTCGCTCTCGCTCTCGCCTCCCCGACGACGCCGACCTCGTCCATGTCCTCCACCACACAGCTTGTCCGCGAACAAGGTGCGCGAACATGCCGTCTCGCTGTCTGGGTCACCATGCGGTGATGCGCTCATGCAGTTTCGGCTGCTGTACTTTGCCACCTTGTTTGGGAACCTGGAGACGGCGGCGGCCGGGTTCTTGCGTGGGCCGGCGTGGGCGTCCTAGTCAACCGGCTCGTCTTGTCTCGTCTTGTAATTACTCTCCGTGTCTTTTCCCCTTCCCCGACGGCCAGACATCGACGGCGGTGTTCGCGTCCGCGGCGTCCGCGGCCTCCGGGGCCTCCGGGGCCTCAGTGGAGGACTGATTGCCGCGCCGTGCTGCTGCAGCGCGCGCCGTCCCTCCCCGCCGCCGCCAAGACCGGCGCCATGCTCGTGAAGTGGGCGCTGCTGGGCCTCAGTCTCGGGCTGCTCCGGTAAGCGCACCCGGCACGGCCGGCACTCCGAGCCGCTGATCTCGGCGACTTGACTCACAGTGATGTTGTTCTCCAGCGTGGAGGCGGGGCGCGGCCGCGGGTCCCCCTCCACCACCACCCCCGCGCCGCCACCCCTGCCGGGGCCTGTGGACCTCACCCTGGCGCTGGACCGCAACGCCTCCTCGCCGGAGCAGCCCTTCACCGTCACCAAGAACGCGTCCGCCTGGGGCGAGTTCGGCTGGTGAGCGTTAGGACCGCGGTTCGAATCCGCGCACATATTTTTTCCCCGTGTTTGACCCGGCTGCCTGCGGTTCCCCGCGACTCCCACAGCACGGAGTACCACACGCGGAGAGGGGGAGGGGGTCTTGGCTGCCCGGCCGGCAGTAGTGCCCCACGTGCCTCACGCGACAACCTGTGTTGCAGGACGTCGACGCAGACCTCGTGCAGCAGCGGCCAGGCGGGCACGCACATGCAGGCGCCGTACCACCTCAACGAGCACGGCTGGAAGGTGGACGAAGTGCCCTTGGAGAGGCTGCTCGTGGCAGGTGAGGGGGGCAGCCAGCTGCGCCGCGGAGGAGTCCCATTTTTTCCAGCGGCATGACGATGATGGCGGGAGAGGAGGGAGGGAGGCAGCTGAGTGATTCTGTGGAAGGCCCTTCTCTCTCGCACTCGTGGGACGTCCCGAATGGGTGCGAGAGAGACGGACCACTGCGCGGTATCACTTTGTAGAGCGCGAGGCGAGGCAGGCGCCCGGCGGGTAGGCAAACCAACGCACAGCGCTGTGGCGCGGGATTGACGGCGTTACCATTACCATTACGGGCTAGACCACGACTGATCGTATGTCGTTTCGGGCCCGATGCTCGCCTGCACTGCAAAACGAGACATGGCCGTCCTTACTACGGTCGTTGTCGTTGCTTCCGCAGCGGTGCTGCTGGACGTGTCCGCCGAGGTGGCCGCCAACGGCAGCTTCCTCCTCACCGCCGACCACCTCATCGCCTGGGAGAAGAAGCACGGCGGGCTGCCCGACAACTCGGTGCTGCTCATCAACTTCGGCACGTCGGCCCACGGCGGGGCGCGCGGCGCGTCCAGGAACCCGTCGGTGACCACCACCGCGACACCCAGGACCACGCCGCTCAACCCAGGTAGCCGATGGCGGCTCTGCAGAGGGGTTCCACCGTTCGTCGCGAGTTTACTTTAAATGCCACCTTCTCGCGCGTTCCCAGGCCTGTCGCAAGGCGCGGCTGTCCATCTCACTACACTCGGCCGCGTGGTCGGCGTCGGCGTGGACCTGCCCGCCCTGGACGCCGTCGGGACGCCGCGCGGCCGCGGGGAGCCGGCGGCGCGGGCGCTCATGGCGGAGAATGTGTACGCGCTGCTGAACCTGGATCTGAGCCGAGAGTTGCCAGGTGTGCTGACTTGACTCTGACCTGATGCATCACAGTGAGCCAGAAGACCGGTGGAGGCGGCCAAAACCCTGGACGCGTTTTGAGCTCCAGAGTCGCTAAAGGGGTCTCGAACCGAAGGTGTCACCCCACCAATGGATTGCTCTCTGTACGAGGAATCCATTGGTGGGGTCACACGTTCGATTCGAGTCCCGTTTAGCGACTCTGGAGCTCAAAACGCGTCCAGAGTTTTGGCCGCCTGCACCGGTCTTCTGGCCCACACCTCTCCAGCACAGTCTTCCTGATCACTCTCACCGCCCCCGCGGCGGCCAAAACGAGCTTTTCTATCCTCTTGCTAATTTGAGACCTTTCGTCTGCCGAGCCAGCGAAGGGCTTCTCGCTGCTCGTGCTGCCTCCCAAAGTGCGCGGGGCCGCCGTGGCGCCGGTGCGCGTCGTCGCCACCACCAGGTCGCCGTCGCCGTCCCGCGCGGCAGCCGCGGCCGTCCTGCCCAGCACCAAGATGGCCATCGGCACTGTCCTGTGCCTCTACCTCGTGCAGCGCCAATCGTAGCCCCTTACGAGTCTTTTTATATTTTCCTCTGATTTCTCTTCTCTAAGTTACTGACTAGCTGCAAACCAAGTATTATTTTTATACTGTTAGTATTTACCTTATTATTTGCTTGTTGTGTTTTGTTTCTTTTTGTCTGTTTTCTGTGCCAATCATTGTGATAGTTTAGGCATTTGAGTGTCGAAAGGCATTGCCCAAATAAATTTGTGATGCTCTTACTTTACAGGGAATGATCACAACTTTCAATTTGTCGTAAAAATTTATTCCTCTTCAAAATTAACCCTTTTTTTTACTCTGAACGTTCAATATAACAAATAAATTTACAACAAGGTATGTTTTTAGTAACATTTCTATTATTGCTTTAGTTGGAAACATTTATAATGATGAACAACTCAATAGTGACATAACAACTGATGGCAATTCATTAAAATTCATTAAAATCTTTACAAATGACAAAAATAAAAAAGACAACAGGAATTTGTATACATTGTTATGGTCCCTTAAATGGACATTTAAGTACAAAATACACTCACATCTATATTTATTGATTCTCTTTTCGATAGGAAGCTGTGACCGACATACATTTTTCATAAAACAACAAATAATAAAAAATGTAAGGAGATTCTATAACAAAGGTTCAATTTGGTTCAATAAATAAGATATCAGTTTGCCACATAAAGGAATGATAGTTGACGAAAAAATGATCTTGTGAAGTAGGGCAACCAGCAACAAAACAAGTCTGAGGAAATGGATAAATATCACAATGAACTCACTATCCTAATTGCGAGTCCTTTTAGGTTCGCATGGTTAACTGTTTTATAGGCAGTTCATCCACATCTTCCAAACCCCGCTTGGTTGCGGGGTTTTGAATTACAGGTACCCGTAGGCCATAGCGTAACTCAGAATTCTCCAGTTTACAAACAGATGAAATTGTTGAAGCAGCGTTGTTTAGGGCTTCCATTAACTCTCCACATGTCATTGAAAAGTTTGCTTCGATAGAAATGACAATGATGGCTATGACATTACAATGACTGGCTCAAGGAACAAACACACAAAAGATGCTTGATCAGAATTAAAATATTAGCCTACTTCCACACAGTCTCAGACATGGTTCTTAACTACGATAAAACTATATACAGCTAAATAATTGATTGAAGTTAGGTCTATAAAAGGTAGCAAAACCAATGTTACAAGATACAAAATCTTAAATAAATTTTCTATCAGAATTCAATACATTTCTAAAAAAAAACAGAAAGAAAGAAATCAACTTGCAATTTTTAAAAATCTGAATGAAATTAAAACAGACAACACATTACGTACAAGGGGAGCACATTCATTGTGGAGAACTGAGAGCACACAAACCACCCGCCCCACATTCACTTAGCTATTCTCTATCAAATAAATAACTTGAACGCGGACTGACAGTCCAGGCTGGAGCCTGACGGCGCTCTCCGCACGCAAGGTGAGCAAATGAAAAACAAAAACAAGTTTCCATACTAAACACGCACCAACACATGTATCACATTCACACAGACAGTCAATCACACTAACTCGCATTCATCCGTCGCGCACACACACATATACGTACACACATTCTCACATAATACACACACACACATTGACAGAGACTTACTTTCATCCTTTCAAAATTATAGCTCTGTCACACAGTCGCAAATGAGCAAATAGTTCTCAGGTCGTGGCGCAAATGTGGTGATTAAAAATACAATTAGGGGAAAGGAGAGGGAGGGGAGAGGAGTGCAAGGGAGGGGAGGGTGTGGCGGCCAGGGCGGGCGCCAGGGCAAGTGGCAGAGGGCGCGCCAGGGGCTGGTCCTGGTCCTCGCCAAGCTGGTGGTGGCGGTGCCCGAGTGCCCCTGGACGTCCCCGGGGGCGCCTCTCACGCCGTCGTGCCGTTGGTGGTGCCGTTGGCCTTGCCGTTGGTGTGTCGGTAGTGGACGTCGCTAGCCAGGTCGCCGTTGATGTAGTAGTCGGCGGCGCGGGGCTTGGTGGACGCCGTCGGCGCGGCGCCGTTGGGCGACCCGTTCTTGGCGCTGCCGTTGGAGGCCTTGACGTCCGCGCTGCCGTTGGCCAAGGCGTTGGCGGCCTGCAAACAAGTCCCGTTTTCAGACAAAAAAATCCTCGCGGCGTGGTATTTGAACCCAGGGGCGGTGGAATGCGCGGACAACACGTGTCGTCGGGCCTTTGGGCTTTTCCGAGTCACGTGTCCACGTCGGCGAGTCCGTCGACTAATGGGCAGTACGCCCCGGGCACCGCACTGCCAAGCCCAGCCAAGCCCAGCCAGGCGGCATGGTCACTTCGATAAGGAGAACCCGAAACCCCCCACCTTGACGTCAGTGGAAACGAAATGTAGTGTAATGAAGAGAAATGCACGAACCTTGAGCCGGGCGGCTTCCCGGGGCTTCCTGTAGCTGGCGTCGTAGTACTCCTTGAAGAGGAACCAGAACATGACGGCGTGCATGCCGATCCACCACACGAAGGCGCGGGGGTAGTTGCAGTCGATGAACAGCAGCTGGAAGGCGTGGACCATGATGGCGACGAACTGCGCCTGCAGGAGCAAAAAGGCAAAGGCGAAAGTGGTCAAGGAGGCGCACTAGTGTTTGGCCATCGCCGGAATAGTTCCAGCCATCAATATGTCGCCGAGGCGGTCGGCGTGACCCTCACCATCTGCAGGACGGTGATGTATTTCTTCCACCAGAGGTACTTCTGCACCTGGGGGCCCAGGGCGGCTAGCAGGTAGTACGTGTACATGATGATGTGGACGAAGGTGTTGAGCAGGCCGAAGAAAGTGCTGTGGCCACCTGCGGACAATGCAACGGTGGCGTTAGGACGTGCGTCAGAGGCAGGCGAGGCAGGCGATGGGAGAGCACTGCAAGGGCAATTAAAGTTTGAAGGGAGTGTCGGCAGGGCTCCACTTGAAACAGCTTAGCGGCAACCGGCAGGCCGATTCCGAACTGCTCTGTCCCTCTCGCACTCATGGCGCCCCCCATTGGGGTGCGAGAGAGACGAAGCACTGCAGGACAGGTGCCGGCAGTTAGCGCCGGCTTGGACTCGGCCACCGCCCACTAAACTGATATACGTGCGAACTTGGGAGCGCCAGCCCAAAACACAAAGGCGGTGCGCGGCGTGTGGCGGCAACGCAACCGCCGCGGACTGCCGGCGCGGCGCGGCACGGGGGCCGACGACGGGGACCTACTCCCACACGCGGCCGCACGCGGTGAGGCCGGCGCCGCACTTACCGGGGGTGAACTTGACGCCGAACCAGACGCTGAAGGGCATGATGCCGTGGTGGATCACGTGCAGGGTGGACACGTTCTTGTGCTTCTTGCGGAGGATGAAGAAGAACTGCAACCAGAGGCACAAAAAAGGTGTGTGAGAAACGCAGGTTGCAGGACGTTGTCTATGAGGATGGCCGAGAAGTTCATCGCCCCGGCCTGGCGCTGGCGGCATGCTGGGCGCCGTGACGGGCTGGGCCGGGCTGGGCGCGAGGCCGGCGGCGTGCCCCGCGCCTCCAGCCGCCGCCAAGCCGCCAGGCCGCCACCGAACTTGACCCTGGCTGCAGCGGCACGGCGCGGCCCGCCCCGCCCGGCCCAAACCCGTTCCCGAATCCCGACCGGTCATCTCAATAATAGTCCTGTTACTGCCCATTCAATCAGGCAAACCAAAAAACGCGCACCGCGACCGCCAAATGCTTTTCCCATTCCAGTCGCACAGATCGACCGACCGACCGACCGCCCCTCCCCTCGATTGCGCAAGAGAAAGCAACACCACCGTTCATTTCATTTTTTGCCCCCCATCTCGCGACTTTGGCAGTGTCGAAACGTCCAAACGCACCGCGAGCGCCACCACCGCCAACGGGGAATGACCATCGTCCAGCCCGTCGCACCGTCGGGCCGAGCCGGCCGAGCGCAGACGGACAGGCAAAAGTCTCATCGCGAGGCTGCGGGGAAATCCCCCACTCCAGATAGCAAACGGCCACGCGGACATCGCCGATTCAGGCCGAGTGCACGCGCCAGGCGCGCCGGGCTCCTCCAGGACGAGCAGGGAATGCAATGACGGGCAGACAATGAAAAACCACAAAAGTTGCGGGGGAGGGGGAAGGGGGAGGGGGAAGGTTAAACGAGTATAATGCCGCGATATCGGTTGGCGGGCCGCGGTCGTCGCCACGTCCGGCCGGCACACTGCTACTGCCGCCGCGATGACGCGGCCAGAGCGAGAGAGACGGAAAGCAGGAAGCCTTCCTCTCCTGCACCACGCCTCGCGACGCCTCGCGACGCCTAGCATTCGTCTTGGGGAAAACAGCCTCGCGGAAACGAGCGCCCGATAAATCGACAAGGACGGATTAAAAACAACTGACGCGGGGTCCGGAGGTTTGGTCGGTTTTCCGGGACCGGCGGGTTTTATTCCGCCGGTCAAATGCGTAATTATATCGTGCAGTAAAAGGCGAGAGGCGCGCGGCAAAACACCGGGACGGTCGGGGAACCGTCGGGGAACCGTCGGGGAACCGTCGGGAACCGGGAAGCAAGGGTTCGGCCGGCGGGTGGCGCGGCCAGGCACGTGGTCCAGTCCAGGGAGTCCAGAGGGTCCAGGCCGGTCGACAAGGCACGCGGGCGCCCACAAGACAGATAGCTACACGCGCACAAAAAAAAAGTAAAAAAATAATCCTTACCGTGTCGAAGAATTCCGTGAACTTGGAGAAATAGTACCACCACGAAGCGTGCACCATCTGGAAAATTGACGGTGGTTACAGTCGGTGCAAGGCACGGGGACGGCCGAGCCGCCGCGCAACGCTCTAGCAGCCATTGCGGGGCGGCTCACCATCCGGAGTTCAATAAAAGACAACAACATAACTTCACAAGCGGTTATTGGTCAGTCGTTACTTGTTAGAATGGAAATATCTCGAGAGTACTGCCGGCCTGCCCGCGCAGTGGCCATAACCGCTGGCCGCAGTGTGCGCTTTTTTAATTGAAATTTTGTCGTTATTTGTCTGAAATATGAAAGTGGGTTGGTGACTCGCAAGCAAGCGCGGGTTCACGTTCTCGGCTGGTGCAACTAGAGCAACAGAAAGTTGCAAGCCGGGCGGGTGGGGCGGGGCCTCCACCAGAGTAGAGCATTCTTTATACAGCACGTCCCTTGCACACATCTCGTTTGCATTCAGGGAAACCGAGCCGAACGAGTGCCCATGCGGTGCTGGCACTATGTACATCGCGACACGGTGATGCCGCCTCAGCCTGCACGCCACCACACTCACAGTGCGTGCGGCCGAGCTACTCACCCTGGTGCCAGACGGACTGTCGGAAATATCTACCGGCTGACAGCGGAAACTATAATCGCCCGTAAACCAACCCGAAATGCCTATCTGCAAAACATTCCACGCGAGGTGGGCGATGAGACGTGCAAATGGGAAACAAAGCGATACACCACCACAAACGGCAAGGCAATGCCGAAGGCTACACTGTCAACTGTACAACCGTCCACCATCGTCATTCAGCGATACAGGGGCGTCGCTGAAACATGCCAACAACACGGCACTCTCTTCCAAGTGATGAAGCAGCAATATGTACACAAGCACAGTCAGTAGGGCTAGGGTCAGTTGGGGTAATTAGGGGACACGGGGTAAAAATGGGACAGCTGATTCTTAGTCAAAGGTTTGACATTTTTTGAACGCATGACGTACCAAAGGTGATGTTTTTACTGAAAAAGCAACATTTGATACGCCACAAATTCTAAAATCTCGATTCTTGACTAAGAATCAACTGTCCCATTTTTACCCCGTGTCCCATAATTACCCCAACTGACCCCAGACAGATCATGCGCAGCTCCCCCGAGGTGACAAGTGCAGCCACAGCCCTCGCGGCCACGTGGCCGACGGACTGTCGTCTCGGGAAAGCCTCGCCAGATCCGACGAGTCGCAACAAGTTCACAAAATGCAAAGTCTCGGTCGCCTGTTCATCCTACAAAAAGGAAAAAAACGGCAAAAAAACGAGTTCTGGCAGCAAAATACATATTCATCTCTCGGCGACTGAAACAATTGGAAACTAAAAGCTAATGGCAGATAATCAGTATGACGAGGCCGCCGGTTGGGATGGGCGTTAAAAACGAAGGTCGTGCAAACTACAAACTAGCACACTAATTGTTATCAAAGTTGCCACCAATGTTAGTTCACATTCTAAAGCTGCTATCGTAATAAAGAGCCCGGCGATCGTACGAAACTCAAGCACATTCGAGAAGTGTACCGCCAGTGGAAAAAGGAGAGTCGATAGACTCCCGCCCCTGGGCTTCTTTTGGGCAAGGGGGTTTCTTTTGCTACTACGACTTTGTCTCCAACACAATAAGAGTTGGAAGAGCTCGACAAAAACTCGAAATTTCAATTCGAAAAGTAAAAACAATCTAACCACAGCGACGTTTGGCGACTCCACTAGATACTGCTGCTACGCACTCGAAACTAGAGAGTTCTCTGCAGGGTCCAGGAGCCTGACCGGTCAAAGGGTTGTGGGTGTGCGCGTCTCCGAAACAGCAAGGCATCATCACCGCCACCAGGGAGCGACGAGATGATCTGTTGCCGTTCCGGGGACAAAGACCCCCAGCCTCCAGCAATCGCCGAGGTCCCTGAACCCTGGAGGTTGGCTTCACTCACCCTGGGCCTGGAGCCGCATCCCACATCCAACGTTCGCAACAGAGAACACGGTTCAGTTAGGGTCGTTCTCGGGGGGAACGCAAGTTATACAGGGACTTTCCGGGAGGAAACCAGACACATTCATATGTACAGCATGTCAGCACAAGGAGGCGGTCCCACCACAAAACCACGGCATGCTAAACAACAACCACCCCTGGAACCGGGAGTGCGAGCAGAGGCGCCGCTGAACCGAACGCGTTTCGAACGCCACCACTCGGTTTGACTTCTTGAAGGAGTTCGTTCTTTGCCTTCCAGTTTAGCGGGGCCAGCTGCCCCTCTCCACCGACACCAGCATGCCGGATCAAACACCTCGGCCGGGACGGAGAGACAGTCCACCGAACACGCCAACCCAAGCGTCTGCATTTCGGAAACGGCGAGGAGCAACTCGATGAATGAAAGTCCGCGGGAATGCCTTAAAACTTGAGTCATCCCATGCATAGTTAACTTTCACCGTTTCCGAGACGCACACACACGAAGGTTGCCGTTTTCGTCAATGAGACCACCCACTCCCCGGCCGGGGGCCACGACATGTACATCATGCCCTCCTCGGGACACGGACATTACCCTTGTGGCGGAAGGGGAATCGGAGTAGTCAACCGGCTGGCATCGCAGGGAGTACTCGCCCCACCAGCCTCCCATCAGGCACTGCGGCAAAAACATCCAGTTGGGCACCTCTCACACACGCAGTCACGCACGCACACACACACACGCACTCTCACACACACACACGCACGCGCGTGCTATCGGTGCATCCACCGTGAAACACGCGTGTTATGCGAAACAAACTCAAATGAGAATTAGTACACATCAAGGCGAGGCGGCGCGCTGCCGGCGGGCGGCGGACTCGGCGCGTCGTCGACGGGCACCTCCGACGGGAGGCTCCCCCGGCGCCGACGCCGCGTCCGCGCCAGCCGGACAGGCCTCCCTCGCCGCCACCATGCACCCCCTGGTTAAGGCCGCAGACGTCGCCGCGGCCACTTTGAGTCACGGAAGCACAGACAAACGGGGGGTCAATCACAACGAAGCGAGCCCAGCGAGGCGGGAAAGGCTTTGCGAAAATGTGGCGGTTCGGATGACTCAAGAGCCGCCGTAAAACGAGGCGGGGCGCCGCTCGGATCGTCTTCACAAAAGTCTCATTAAAGGAATGGGAGCAGACAGCCCGCGGATTCCTTGGGCCCCCTGCGGCGCCAGCCACGCCAACTTGCAGTGCTGCAACGAGAAGGCTTCGCGCGGCCCAGGCGGCCAACGCGGCCAACGGCGAGGTCGCCGGCAGATCGCCACCGCTGGAACGGCGCCACCGCGACACGCGTCTCGCCACCTAAACAGTACACTGCACCGGGGGACTTTCCTGGAAAAAACGCTTTTTTAACTTGGCGCCGGCTTCGGCGGCGTGCAGCGACCTGGCAAACAAGGCACAACCAGCGGCCGGTAATACAAAACAAAGCCAGCAAATTCAATCCAAATAAAAACAAAGGAATAATTTAAAACAATAAGGTAAAAACGAAAAACAAGGAAAACAAAACAATCGCGAGACGTCACTTTTCTTTTGCAAAAGTTAATGCGGTTTAAAAATACAAAAAAATAACAACCGTTCCGTAAGTAGTAGCAAAAATGCGAGGGGGCAACCGCTCTAGAAATCTTGTGTCCCCTTAGCGCTAGAAATCTTTGGGAAATCTGAAATCTTGCCCCCAAAAAGGCCAAAAACAAGCTAATTTTGGGCGGAATAACGGTTAAAATCTTGCGAAATCCGACGAAATCTTTAGCCTTTAGAAATCTTGTGTCCCTACACATCCAATGTGGTTGCTCCCTCGAGCAAATGTGTTCTCTCTTTTTTGGAAAGCAAAATAAATTGCTCAAGTTCGAAAGGATAAAATAAAATGAAACGTACTATAAGAAGTTGTCTTCTTTCGAATAAAATAATAAAAATGGAACCAGTCCGCGCCACATAACTCAGGGCGCGACTCGTCGCGAGCGATTTGGAGTGACACCGGTCCATTCATCGGGTCGGCCAGCTAGCGCAGCAGCGCAGCTAGCAAAGCGAGCCGCCGGCCGTCGAGGCCGTCGGCGGGGGACAGGGGGGCGGGGGCGCGCCAAAACCAAAACGTCGTTTCGCTCGAGACCGGTCGCGAGGATGCCTCCACTCCGCTCGGCGCTCGGCTTACCTCGTAGAACAGCCACGTGCTGAACAGCACTTGGAACAGGTTGTAGTAGATGAGCACTTTCCGTAGGTTGAAGGGTTTGCGGTTCTCCATGAGCCGGGGGCCCAGCACTTTGACGATGTACACGTAGGACAAACAGATGGCCGCCGTCGTGAAGGGGCTCCCCATGAGGAACCAGTTGGTGGATCGCTTGTCTGCGACACACACACGGCGTTACAATCGGCCAGGCTACGCCTCACAGTCAGTCCAGAGCGGTGTGTTACCTGCATATCTGTCGAGCGTGTCGTGTAACGCGTTCCAACCGCTGACTAGAAGCGCCATGGCGAACGAGGTGGTTCAAACGTCTGCAAAAGCAAGGAAAGGCAAACGACTCGTTAGCGCGCCGCCACAACCACAGAGGCAATCCGAGAAAAACCACCCGAGAGAGTCCCCCAGTCAGTCAATCAATCAATCTTTCCGTCTAATTCAGTCGTCGGACTGTCGAGCCTTCGCTGCCTTTGCGCAACGCACCGCGATATTTGCCCGCGGCCACGCGGGCCCAGCCGGCTTGGACAGTCACACACACACACATTCACACACCTCGCGGCCGCCAAACCACAACATGACACACTCCGCCTCGCTCGCCGGGAAATACACATGATGCACGCAGACCGCGGAATTTTTCATGCCTGTCTTTTACGGCTCCGCGGCGGCGGCGCGCTTAGCCCGAGCCTGGCTGAGCCAGGCGGCGAAGTCGCGGCGCTGGCGGCGCTGCGCCGTGCTTCGCGCTTCCCCGCTGCACCTGCGACCTTGCAGCGAGGGCTCTTGGCCAATGGGGCTCCCAAGGCGCTTGGCCAATCGCGCACACACTTTTGTCCGGGCGCCAGCCACGCCTGGCCACGCCTAGCCACGCCAGCCACGCCGCGGCACGTCATGTGTACCGGCCTCGGTACCGGACAGGCGGACGGGCCGTGCGGACGCCGCCACGCCGCCACGCGGCCATCGGCAGGACATAGTGGGCAAACTGTCACCCAAGGTCAGGGACTCGGCGAGGACGGCGGCGAGGGGGGCGCCCCGTGAGGCACGGCGCGCCGGCAGCCAGAGGCGGGCCGCCGTGTCTCGGCAATTCGATCATCAGCAGCATCGCAGAGATCTTTAAGGTCGAAAATGATTGAGTCTGGCGGTGGGCGGGGCGGGGCGGATCCTGGAAAGCGGCCGACTCGGCTCAGATCGGATTCTCGACGGCGACAGCCCCAAATTGGCGCCGAGGCCGAGTCGTTCCCCTGCACTGTAGTGGACGCCCAGCTCGCCCAGCTCGGCGGCCGTGCGCCATTTGCCCACGGCCACTAGCCTGGCGAAACCACCGCGCTGGACGGGCCGGCTGGGCTGCTGGCCGGCCGGACTGGGCGGCGACGCGGCGAGCGGCGGCGGGGCTTGCTGTCTCAGCGTTCGCGCCGTTCGCGCGGGGTGGTGGCGGCGGCGCGTCGGGGGCTGCAGAATGCCTCGTCAGGCCGCAACAGGTGAACGAAGGCCCCCGTCAGGCCACGGCCAGGCCTGACACCAATCCAATGCGCGCCGTGCGCCCTGGCGGCCCTGGCGCCACCAGACTCCTCCATGGACCGCCCCCGGCCGGGGCCCAGAGGGGGAAGGCCAACAGGAGCACGCCGCCAGCGCCCCCTGCCAAGGGCCCCGCCAAGGGCCCCGCCAAGGAGGGGCCGGCGAAGGGCCCCCGCGAGCACGGCAGCACGAGGTGCTAACAGGGTGAGAACAAGTCCACCGCTCTAGCTCGGCTCTAGCGTCGCAAGGCCGCGGCACGGCCAGGAGGTTACAGACCCAAGGACGAGAACCCGCACATGCAAGCACACTCCAACAACTCTCTCTCTCACACACACGCATACATACACAAACGCGCGCACACGCACACACACACACACTAGGGCGCCGGCGTGGGGCACCAACGCGGCGGGGCGGCACTGACCGATTCGGACCGTCCACTCCGAAGTCGCAGCGAAGACTGGCGACTGGCGGCGACCCTCGACACCACGCGGCGCAAAGTCCGGGCAGGGCCGCGACGCGAAGCGACGCGCGGCGGGGCCCCGGCGCGCCCCTCCACCGGCCGGTGCGTTTGGCGAAGCTCCGCGCGCTCCGCGACTCCGCGCTCCCCAGCGGCCGGGCCAGGGGCGTGGGATGGGGGCGGAGGGGAGGGAGGGGCGGAAATTTGCTCTCATAAACATCACAAAAAATTGTTTTGAAAGGAACCATTATTGAGGCGCAAAGGAGCGGCTTGATCACTCCGGGTCGCCATGGAATGAAAATTCAGCACAGAGTGTGAAGGTTCTTAGGAGGGCGTAGGGGGACCGTGCGAGCAAGGTGGGTGAGAAGGAGCCGCCTTACGCACAGTGGGCCAGAAGACCGGCGCAGGCGGCCAAAATTAAAGACGCTGTGCTTGTTTCAGAGTCTCTAAACAGGACTCGAAACAAACGTGGTGACCCCACCAACGGATTCCTCGTTCGGAGAGCAATCCATTGGTGGGGTCATACGTTCGGTTCGAGTCCCATTTAGCGACTCTAGAACTGAAAGTCCGCACCGGATTTTGACCGCCTCCACTACTGGTCTTCTGACCCAGTGCGCGCCCGCGTCGCATCCCCCGACCATGAAGTGGGCTCTAGTCTCGACGGGGCGGGCCTTACAAAGTGCGACATCGTGGCGCGGCGCGGCACGGCACGGCACGGCACGCCAAAGCAGGCAGGCCGTCTCGCGCATTCACAAACACAGGTGAAGCAGGGTTCAGAAGGTCGGGACTACCGTCAGGGAGGAACCCCGGACGCGCGAGGGCGTCGGAGCGCCTCCAAACCACAAAACAACAAGCAGCGAACCCGAGCGAACCGGCGGCGGACACAGAAAGCAAGAAAATGCCGTCCCCACCGCGACCACACAAGCCCGAGTACACGGGGGCTGCCGCGACCAGACCGCCGGCAGACTCATTTCGCGGAACAGGGCGTCTCTCTCGCACTAATGGGGTCGTCCCGCGTGGGTGCGAGAGAGACAGACCGCACTGCGCGGAACTACACTGCAGAGGCCGACGCAAGGCGCCGAGCGCGCAGAGGGCAGTGTCCCTGCGACAACAGGCAGGCAGTGTTGGAGGACACGCGCGAGAACCGGATCGCCGCGCCGCCAGCGCGGAGCGCGCCACAGCAGAAGCTTTCGGCACGCCCCGCCACGGCGGAAGACGAGTGGAAACTCTACTCCAGAAATTATTCCGGGGTATCGGACGCGCCAATCGCCGGGCAGTGGTAACATTATAGCCTGGGCTCCGACCTCAGGGGTCACACCAGCCAAAGATTCCATTATTTTGCCGGACCTTCACGCAGTACTCGCAAAATCCTCCGCCATCCAAACTAATGGCAGGTGAGACGTGCGCGCGAGAGGAGACATTGTTATGAATATTAATCTTCCAAAGAGTGGGAAAGGCCGTGGAGTCGCCGGCAACATGTAGCACAACCAAACGAGACCATCACGCCTGCTGGTCAGTTTAAAATGCGTTTAAAATCAAGTCCAGTTTCAAAACAAATGCAAAACTGCAAACCAAACTTGCTACCTATTCCATTTTGAACTTCTGAAAAAAAATTGATTCCCATGGAACTATTATAAGGTTGTTTGGAATCTGTGCATACGTCATTGCACGAGGAACAGACAGTTCAGCGAGGCACTGTCTGAAACTCTGTGGCTTGAGGATGGACACTAATATCGAGCAGACTCCTCTCGACTGGACGAATAAAAGACATGATTTTAACATCTAGTCACCATGACGTGTGTACAGTACACTCTTAGAGGATGCTTCCAAGTACACTCTTATTTACAGCATACTTGCAAGGCACACGCTAAAATAGAGTGTGCCTGGCAAGTACACGCTAAATAAGTGTGTACCTTGCAAGCCCACACTAAAATACACTCGATTAGTCCTATCTAAAAGCATGGGCCAGTTTAAGGGTACTTGCCAGGTACACTCTTATTTAGCGTGTACCTGCAACGAGGGGGCCACCACCCCCGTAATCCTGTGTACAAATTGGCTGGTAATCTCTGGTAATCCATGGCGTAATCACGTAATCCTTGACAAAATTGTGTCATTTTTCACCGTTTTTAGCGAGGGGGGAATAACTCCTCTTTCTGGTGAACACATGATTGCAAGGAGGCGGGATTTCGCGTGATTTCGCGTGATTTCATGGATTTCGCAGGATTGCGTCGGATTGCAAGGATTGCGTAGATTGCGCCGGATCTCTTTAGATTGCAGGCGATTTCAATGATTGCGGTCGGATTTCATAAGATTGCGATGGATTTCACAAGATTGCAATAAGATTGGGATGGATTTCACAAGATTGCAATAAGATTGCGATGGATTTCACAAAATTGCACTATGATTGCGCTGAATGCAAGATAACTGTGTTGGAACACCCGAGAAATACCGTTTATTTACGTGGGTTGTCATTGTGTCTATTTTTTTTTTACAGACAGTGGGTCTTTCAAAGTATAGGTGGCAGTGCTTTGGTTTTTGGTGATTTTGTTGCTTACTATGAAAAACTTTTATAGCCACAGACTGGACTCCCAACTCCCATTAGTTCCAAAGTTATGAGGGTTTTAGTGTCAATTTAGTCGTTTATTAAAAATTCTCCTTGCGAAGAACCAAAAAGTTTACGGAAGTGTGATTTTTTATTTTAGAGCCCAATAAACGTGCAAACAGACTAGCAAAGCCAGATTTGACTGTATATGCAAAGGGCAGCCGGAATCTTATTTTGAAAAGTGTATTTTTCTTATTTTTCTAAAATTAATTAAAGTTTGGTAAAAATAAATTTTTTGAGAAAAATTTCTGTTTAATGGTGGAAATTTGGAAATCCGGCTTTGCCACGAGATAGGCAAATCAATAAAGAACTTGTAAAACAAAAATGAAGTCTCCACAACTTTTGGTTCTTCGCAAGGAGAATTTGGGAGAAACGACCAAATTTGTTACGTAAACTTCAATAACTCAGAAACTAATGGGAGTTGGGTGCCTCAACTTTGGGTTTAAGTTCATCTTATAGTAAGCAACTAGAAACCAAAATACAAACATGATGCCACAATTATTTTGAAAAATGATATTTCACATTTTTTCACTTTACAGTATCCTTAAAATTATTGCGAGACCGCTCTGTTTCTTACGTATTTATTGTTTGATTTTTTTGTGACCAAATATCCTGTCCGATCTTCCCGCGCCTGCAAACGGAAACCGTTTTAGTGGGGCAGGGGCGGCTATTCAGTGAGGTCAGCACGGGCCAACTAATAACGAAGGAAAGGAGCGAGTGTGGAGGAATTATTGGACGATAGACCCTTT